TCCAGAAACGTATTATGGATTGGGTGTTCTGAAATATATTTCCAAAAAGATTAATACAAAATGCATTCAAAAAATAAAGATAAAGACAAGTGTAAGAATATAATGAGATTTAATATAATTATGGGGGTGCAGGAAGCAATCACCTAAAAGAATCCATAAGTATTACTATTACGACCCCACTTGTTCATTTGTTACGTTTTGCACCACACTAAATTCCTGACTATAAGCCCTTCTCTATTCACTTTGGTTAATTTTTTCTAAACTCCAATAGTTTTTTTTTTCACATCTCTATGACTAAAATAAATCTTATTTTATTTTTTTATATTTATCTTCTTCTCATTCGTCTTCTTATTTTTATTTTTTTAACTCATTCTCATCATTTTCTTGCATTATGTTTTATCATTCATTATTATTTTAAAGAATTGGTTAGATAAAAAAAAATGACTAGTTTCATATAAGATTTTAAAGCGTTATAATTCCCTTGTGTTTTTTCACATGCAAAAAGAGAACACTAAAAACCCCAAATATATTTTCGGATTAATCAATGTTTAAATAATAATTCCAATTTAGGTAACCAAAATAAAATTACAAGTTTCGGATTCTTGAATCCACAGCAAAATAATGGAAAACTCAATTAGGAAACTTTCTGAATAAGCTAATCTAAAAAAATTTAAGATTTTTTTTTATGAAAATGAATTTCAGAATCAATAATTTGAAACACTAAATATATCAAATACGATTTTTTACGAAATTTTTAGATGTATAACATGATTCAAAGCATAAATTATCAATAAATTTTTAATTTATGAGTGAAAATGAAGATACATAAAAATGGAGAGGTTGAAAGAAATTATCGTAGTTTCTGAAATCTATTATTATATTTATTCCCATTTATGCATTTTAATATGTACTGTGTCACAAACAACACGCTCACCAATATCACTAATTCTATATAAACTTTTCTTATTTTTTATTTTTTATTTGGGTATAAATTGATTTTTATTCTAAATATGTTTAGGGAGAAGTTTGATTAAACCTAACCTAATTAAATAATAATTGCTACAAGTTTTTTTAATGTTAGTTTTCTCTTTACTTATAATATTATCAATTTTCTATTAGTTTAATTATAGTTTTAAACTTTTTTTATTATGTTTTATTAAATCAATGGATGGTAGTATTTTCATATGTGTATTGTAACGTTAGTAGTTGAAATTTTTAATAATAATAATAATAATAATAATAATAATAATTATTATTATTATTATTATTATTTTCTGTTTATATAATATGTAAATTTCTCCTTTATAGTGTGATTATGTGAAGAAAAAATCTTCTATATTCAAGTAATAAATCAATACAATATTTCGTATTTAAAAATTAAAAGCATCGTATGAAGTTTTTATTTTGTTAAGGTTCATTTGTTTCAATATAATGTTTCATATTTAAAAATTAAAAGTATCATACTAAGTTTTTATATTTTTAAGGTCCATTTGTCTAAAAAAATGTAGAGTAAAAATATATTAGTGTAACTAAATACACAGAATAAAAATATATATTTTTTATTTGTTAATAAATAAAGTATATTTTTTTTACTTACTTTTATATATATATATATATATCATTGAAATTCTTAAAAATTGTAAGGAAATGTTATTTCAAAAATCAACCTTTTTCATCTTTTTAAAATTACATATACGGGTAACATTGTAATGTTACAATTACTCGATATTCATTAATTTGTTTATATTTTTACTATTTTTTGAAAACTAATAATTTTTATATTATTATTCAAATAAGTAAATTTTTTTAGATTATTTTATTTTTTCTTATCACATATTATTTTCATTACAATGAATATAAGCTTAATTATAATATTAGTTAAAATTTACATCATTATATATAATGGTTAATCTATGGATAAAATAAGAATGAGAACATAATAATAACAACTAAATAAAAAGAATATAATTTAAACTTTTCCAACGCATAATAACATGTGATGAAAGAACACCTACCAATATTTAAAAAAGACAAATTTTTATTATAAATTTGTTACATAATTTCTATTTGTGTTATATATAAAACCTAAAATAGACATGTTCTAAGTTGTTTGATTTTTGTCCTTCTTAATACTTAAGGTTTAGATTTGGGATTGCATTATTCATAACACACACATAGCTATCATAACAACACAAAGGTTTTATAATTATATTATATAGAAATTGGATTATTATAGAGTTTATTGCCCTAAGTAATAATATAATAATAAAATAAAAAATATTATTATAATAAATAATGTAGTTGGTTGTAAAATGCCAACTCAACTTTTTGATAATGGTCAAATTCTTTTTACATCACTTTTTATATTTTTTTAAGTTCTATATTTTTCAAATTGAAAAAATGATTTTAGTTTCTATATATTGAATTTAATTAGTTAAATAAATTTTTAATATTATAAAATTTAGGATTTAAACTTATTTTATTATATAAATCAAATTAATAATAAAAGGAAATTAAAAAATCTAAATCAGAAAATTTTATTTAATAATTTTTTTTAGAAAAGTTGTCCAATTGTTAATATATATATATATATATATATATATATATATATATATATTTGTTTTTTTCTTTTTTGAGGATTATGTGATGTGTGTGCTTCTTAGTTCCATTGTGTTATCCCTTTCATGACTGATCCATTGGGCCCCACCACGTGGCAACGTATTTTTTTATGCAACTAAAATATAATTTAATATTTAATAGTTAGGGCACACACTAATTATTAATTTCAAATTCAAATTAATTTAGTACCAGGAATTTGTTAATCTATGTCCTACGTATGTTTTTGTGAAATATATTAATGGAATAACTATAACCATGTTTTAGTGTTGCGTGTTCAAATTTTGTATATAATTAATTTATTTTATCTTTTTACTCTTTAAATACATTGATTTATTTTTTTAAATTCTTTCTATTTTCTTAAATGTATAAATCATAATAATTATTTTTTCTTTAACCCTTCATTTTTTTTTCAATCAAATTATATCACACAATTGAATATGTACTACCAATAAATAACATCATCTTTTAAGAATTTCAAGTTATTACATTTTACTTCTCAACATTAATAAAGAAAACTATTCACCAAATTTAGAAAAAATTGACCCAAAAATATTATAATAGTAAAGATGAGATAACAATATTTAAAAAAATAAATATATTAAAGTTTAATAAAGAAAACTATTCACCGAATTTAGAAAAATTTGACTAAAAATATTATAATAGTAAAGATGAGATAACAATATTTAAAAAAAATATATATATATTAAAGTTTATTATGAGATGGAGAGCCTCGTTTTATCTATACATATACTTAATTATCACTGAAAGATTATATTTTGATATAATTATGAGTTTTGTATTATTTAGAGTTTAGACTAAATATAATTTATTTAATAAAATAAATTATATTATTTAAAAAGGTTACGTTCAAGAAGAAAAGTGGATCAGAGTTAGTATTGTTAAGATAAAATGAACGTAATAATAAACAAAATTATTTAAATATTTTTTTTTGAAGTAATCACATGGGTGGTTTGAAATGTTTAGGTTGCATTACAGTATACAACATTCTCTTTGTTGCCTCTTACAAGTAATACATAGTTTAATCGAAGTGAAAGAAAAATAAATTGCAGATTCGATGATCATTATAAAAACACATCATTCACTGCACAATTTAATTTCTATAGAATTGAAAGGACCATATAAATGTGGTTTCTGCTCTGAATTGAAATGTTTTTCCCATCTCAGACACTTATTTGTCAAAACAAAACAGACCCACCACGCAAAACCCAAAAATAGATAAACCAGTAAAAGACAGTCTTTCAAACCCAATTATAAAATCAGGTCAAACTTCAAACTTTAACTAAGCATGGACTGTGAAACCTTGAACAAATGTTATCAGTAGAACTAGTATAAATTGTTTTTTCAACGTTGTCTACTCTAAATAGTTATGATATTATTAAATATTACTCTGAATTACACAATGATTTGTTATATATGTGAAGATTTTGATGGTATTAATGATTGATAAGATGATTAACTTTTACTGTTGTTTTTGTAGAGAGGTTTGAGTTTCTTGAGTTTTTGTGGGATCAGTAAGGACAGGCTGGAAGGATCCACAGGGGAACCCCACTCACCATTATTGTCAGACAAGAAACCATACACCCTCTCTCTTATGATAAAGTGTATTTCTACTCAACTGTTTACCAGGAATCACTAACACATACAGAATAAAATAAATTGAAAAAAAAAAGGCTTACAAAAAAGTAGAAAAAGGTGCCTTGGTTCTCTTTTCCTTGCTGCTTCTGCTAAGCAAGCATCTTCCTTTCCCTCACTTTTTATCCCCACTCTTCTTCCTTTCCTTTCTTCTTTTCTTTTCACTAAATTCCTCCCCCTTCTTCCTTCCACTCAGATCAATTCTCTCAGATTTCCATTTCTCAACTCTCATAAACCCTATCCACTTCCCTCAATCTTTCCCTTCATTTCATCTGGAAATTTCCCTTCTGGGTTTCATTGATCAACCCCACCAAAAAAAACATTTTTTTTTGTTAATCAGTTCATTCTCTCTCCCTCTCTCTCTCTCTCTCTCTCTCTCTCTGTATTTTCTAGTACGTAGCTCACTTTCTTTTATGCTTTAATTTTCACAATTTTCTATATTTGAGCTTCTAAAGGCTCTGAATTTGACACTTCCCCTGATCTCAAGTTTTGAACTTTGTTAAAATCTTTGCTTCTTCTTGTTCTTCTTTTTTGAAGAAATTCTCCAAACAGCCCCTTCTCTTTCACACACAGTACACAACTCACTTTTTTTTTTCTCCTTTTAATATTCTATATTTGAGAATCAGAAGACCCTGAACTGGGCACTTCCCTGATCTCAAATTTCACTTTGGGGAAATATTTACTTCTCCTCGTTCCAATCATTGTTTCTTCAGGTGATTTGAGATTTAATGGGAATCTGCCATGGAAAACCCATCGAGACCCAACAAAGTGAGAGAGAAACCACAGAATTCCCGAGCGAAGTTCCATCTTCCACAAACCCCAACAAACCCTCGAAATTCCCATTCTACAGCCCAAGCCCATTGCCGAGTTGGTTCAAAAACTCGCCGGCGAACTCAAACCCTAGCAGCGTGAGTTCCACGCCCGTGAGGATCTTCAAACGCCCCTTCCCTCCTCCCTCGCCAGCCAAGCACATTCGCGCGCTCCTCGCTCGCCGCCACGGTTCGGTCAAGCCGAACGAAGCCTCCATACCTGAAGGCAGCGAGTGTGAGGTTGGTTTGGATAAGAGCTTCGGCTTCGCCAAACACTTCTCTGCCCATTACGAGCTCGGCGAAGAAGTGGGCCGCGGCCATTTCGGCTACACCTGCTCCGCCACGGCCAAGAAAGGTCCCTTCAAGGGCATCGACGTTGCCGTAAAAGTCATTCCCAAAACCAAGGTAGGTCTCATATCCTCTCTATACATGTTATTACAATTTGACCAATGCATAATTCACATAAAACATGTTTTTATCTACTCAGAATATTTCTGATTTTGGTTTTGATTTCTATAAATTTTTAACATTTTCTTTTTTATAATTTCTGGGTTTTAATTGGAACAGTTATTTGTATACATTATTCCCTGGTTTGATTTATGTTACTCAATTATTTATTTTTCTCTGTGGAAGAAGTTGGTTAATAAATTTGTTCTTAGTTTATATTTTTTATAATTACTTTGTCTTTAATCTCTCTCTGCACAAACTAATGCAGTAACATTTAAACCAGAAAAACACTTACATTATAGCTGCGATAGTTGTTCCTTACCACAATTTAAAAGCATAATATTAAGAACTTAAAACCAGTTTTTTAAGGACAAAAACATAAGATGATGCATTTATTATTATTATCTTTGTTTGATGTGACAGTTTTAGTTAAACCGTGTTTGGTGTATGAGTTTTGTAAATTACTTTTACATTTCACCACATTTTCTTAAATTATACCTTATTTATTTTTTTCATCATTACAACTACCTTCTTTAATGGGGGTGAATGTGTAATATTAAAAAAAAGGAGAGTGCAATGTTTTAAATAAAGGGTTGTTTGTGTAGAATTTAAAAAAAAACTAGGGTGTCATTGTAATTTGATAAAATCTCTGGGGTGTTGGTGTAATTTATTCTAGTTTCTATTTTTAATTTTTAATTTTATATGTATAAGGTACTGAAGAAGCAGTTTGCATTGCAACTGAATTTATGATTGCAATGTCAACGCTTTTACATTGTGTTTACACATTGACCTAGAAAACCTTGACTAACATCGATTGAAAAATAATTATCGCTTATATTGGTAGAAAAATAATAGCAACAATCTCAATTGAAGAATAACTCTTATCCATGGTAACTAAAAAATCCCAACTTAAATAAGCTGAAAAATAGCATCATTAACATGGATAAGAAAAAATTTGGTTAACATCTACTAAAAATGATGTTGAGCCAACGATGTTATAGTCAAGGTTGAGCCAACAATGTCATAGTCAAGGTCGAGTCGACAACACAATGGCTCTAATCAAGGCCTAGCTGATGACATCAAGGTTGAGCCAAGGAGAAGTATGGAAAAAAGAAACATAAATGTGAAAGAGGAGAGAGTACACAAAACTTCAAATTCTTACTTTTAGATAAAATTTGTAATTTTATATATTTAAATAATCAAACTATTCTCATAAATTCCTAAAATTTCATTCTTTTTTAAAATTTCCTATCTAAACAACATAGTTTATCATTAATCATTTCAAATTCTTTATAAAATTGAATTACCCTCTAAAACTTTCCCATTCGAACACATTATTAGAGTTTTTGTGACGCTATATATGGGAACTATTCGGACAAACTTCTACATAAACATTTATAGGAGAGAAAAATAATAAGAAGAAAATGAAAAAAAGTTTATCCGCAAGTTAAAGTTAGCTTATGCACAAGCACATGATAAAAATAAGAATTTAGAAAAACTATACAAGAGAGCTTTTACATAAGGTAATTTTAACTTATGGAAATGTGCATATCATTTTTTCTTCTTATTTTTCTCTCCTAGAAGTGTTTTTGGAGAAAATTGTCCAACAAACCCTAAATACACTTGTTTGTAAATATTAAAGATAATGAGGAGAGTGTGATTTAAAACCTTGGTTCTGTTAGTTGCATACAGTGCTGTGCTCTTTTGTTTCTTATGCAACTTGGTGATGATTGGCAGATGACGACAGCAATTGCTATAGAGGATGTAAGGAGAGAAGTGAAAATATTACGGGCTCTAACAGGACATAAAAATCTGGTGCAATTCTATGAAGCCTATGAAGATGATGACAATGTTTATATAGTTATGGAGTAAGTTGATACTAGTACTCTTTTTTTAACAATGTTGCGAATCTCCATTACAAACTTGAAGTTTTTATTTTTCTTTTAAATATTGAGTTTATTAAGCAGGAAACTTGAAGTTGTTGATTTGGGAAAACACATTAAGAGCTTACATTCTTATGTATCTTATGCTATTCAGGCTATGCAAAGGAGGGGAATTGCTAGATAGAATTCTTTCCAGGTAACAAAGTTTGTCAATTTGCTTTTTCTTCCCCGCAAAAGTGGGAAAAAAAGTACAAAGAGACATGCTGATTTAATTTTTTTTACCCTTGTATATATTACCATTCTAACGAAGCACAAGTTCAATTGTCGTGTGTAGGGGTGGAAAGTACCCAGAAGAGGATGCCAGAGTAGTTATGATCCAAATATTAAGTGTGGTAGCTTTTTGTCATCTGCAGGGTGTTGTTCACCGCGATCTCAAGCCAGAGGTAAGTAAAATTGTAAAGCTAATTAATTTAAACTTTAGTTGAAGCTGAGAAACTTAGGCATCGAGGTTTTCTTGTTTTTGGGATTAATTACATCATAGATTTATATTTTTTGCAACGTTTCTCATTTAATTTGACTGCTGCACTGGCAAGCCCTGGAAAAAATTTGCTGTATTTAAATATTAGACAGAAATCAGCACAATTCTCCTGCAAGTTTCTATACCGTGTAATTATTCAATAATTACATGGTTGAATGGTTCACAGTTAGTGTGACCTAAATCTAACAAACTTATTCTTACCTGGGGCTTTTAACTCATATGGAACCTGGTTGTTACTCTTTTAGTGATGCTCTGAGTGTTTAATGTTTCGTCTCAGGTTTGGTTTCCCGTTGGCCTGTGCCACAACAATATGTTTAATGTTTTTCTAACGTACCTTTACACTTTGGAAGGAGTAAGTCTTTTTGTGCCACTGCAAGTTCTGGAAGTAATAGTGATGGAGTGGATATGAGTGACATATTGGAGTTATTCCATCTTCATTCGTTATAGTTAATAATAATTCTGAATGACAACTGTTTGTGTTAAAGTTAATTATGGAACAAATAACAAATGCCGTTGAATATTTCTTTACATGGGTTGTATATATATTCCTTCAACTTAGATTGTTTTGCTGTTTTTCTAATCATGAATATTGGTTTTATGCTTCAGAATTTTCTTTTCACTTCTAAGGATGAAAATTCCACGTTGAAGGCCATTGATTTTGGATTGTCTGACTATGTGAAGCCAGGTCGGGCTTATTCACTGCTTTCTATATTTCTCTTGTTTTATTGACAGAGAATATAACAACCAGTGGTAACAATCCGAAGTGTTTTTGCAGATGAGAGGTTGAATGATATTGTTGGAAGTGCTTATTATGTAGCTCCAGAAGTTTTGCATAGATCTTACGGGACAGAAGCAGATATGTGGAGCATTGGTGTAATTGCTTATATTCTTTTATGTGGAAGTCGTCCCTTTTGGGCCAGGACAGAATCTGGTATATTTCGGGCTGTACTTAAGGCAGATCCAAGTTTTGACGAGGCTCCTTGGCCTTCTTTATCTGCTGATGCAAAAGATTTTGTGAAGAGGTTGTTGAATAAGGATTATCGTAAAAGATTGACTGCAGCTCAGGCACTAAGTATGTCTTTCCATTTCCCATAGTGGTGTATACATGGTATTGGTATTCTTAACTTTTTGATCTCCTTAATTCTCTTGCTTATTATAGCCTAATTTTGTGCACAGGCCATCCATGGCTGGTGAATCATGATGATGATATGAGGATACCTTTGGATATGATAATCCACAAGCTTGTTAAAACTTACATTTGCTCATCTTCTTTACGTAAATCTGCTTTACGGGTATGTGGAACTGGTGTTATTTAGCTATGGTTTTGGAGTTTTCAGTTGTAAAAGTTTTTCATTGCATCATCTAATCATGCCTTATCACATATTTAAATTAGTTTATAAAAACTACTTGAAAAGTCAACCATTTTTAATCATGTTTCAACTAATGATTTGATGCTACAGTCAATTAAAATTACTCAGTTTTGTCCCATGTCATTTCTCAATATTGAGACTTAATATCCCTTATTGATCTAGCGACATTCATAAAAGCTATGTAAACCAGTTCAATTTTTTTTTTCTTAATAAAATGGTATTGCTAAAGCTTCACAATGATAATTGGTCATCCCAACTATGATGACATCACAATTAACTACAATCATATGGAGCATCCCAATCATAAAATAAAGAAGAAAAGGAAGTGGGAGGATTAGACCAAAATCTACTAAGAAAACTTATAACAAGGAAGTTGAAATCTATCTCTGAAAAAATTAGAATTTACAAAAGAATCTGGGTGAACTAATACCTGAATTGCCAAACTTATCTGTAAAATAGTTTTCTTCCTTAAAGATATGAGTGACATGAACCCATATATGTTTTGTCTTCTTCATGTAATTAAGCCATCTATTACCCAATCACCAAGGAACAATAATTGAATTTTTATAAGCTTGGACAACTAATTGAGGATCACATTCTAAACAAAGCCTAAACCATCCTTTAGTGAAAACAATCTCGATTGCCAAAATACCCCCACCCTAATTTCCATAAGGCATCTTGCACCCTCAAGGAATTGTTAAAAATAGCCCCCCCCCCCCCCAAGCAGCAGTAGCAGGAGAGCCCTTGGCAACCCCATGAGTATTGTATTTGACCCATCTAGCAGAAAGAGCAAGCCATAAGACTGGTATGATATCAGGAATCTTAGGAGGATTCGCAGCCACTGTAAAAGCTTTAAGAATAAGGAACTCAGTTATGTTACATTTTATACTCTCATAGTCCCCTTCCTTCCTTTTTGTTGTCCCTTTAAAGCTCAACATTCATTACCGTAGAGTATGGCTGAATGTATAACAACACAATAAAACTTATGAATTTGGTAACTACTATGATATCGCAAATAACCCCTCATGCATTTCTCTATTTTAGCCTTTCTGCTTATATCATGTGTGACATTCTCATTAATTTCCATCTTATTTTATAGTATGGAATCCTGATATTTAAACTTAGAAACTTGTGATATGACACTTCTCCTAGACATTCCTCTTACCTTTTCCTAAAATTCTTCTGCCATATACTTTGTCTTGTTCACACACCTAAGTGAAAACTTCTGTTTCCATGTGTGTCGCCTAAAGTTCAAGTTTAAAGTTAACTGCTTCCCTTGATTCCTTAATAAAAAATATGTCATCAGGAAAAAGCATGCAATGCAATCAGACTTTCAAATTCAAATGGGTCATTTTGAATTTTAATATTTTAATTCTATGTTTTCAAGAGCTACCCAAATAAATATCCCAGCTGTTATTATGATGATAATGAAACGGCTCTATAGGAACATAAAAGGAATGCAGAATGGATGAATTGCATGAATTGATAGAAACTCAAACTACATGTTTTCAGATTGGGATTTAACCTCCCGTCAGAAAGACAAAATTTTAAGAGACGAATGAAGGGAAGCGAATCATAGAAATCTATGCACTGATCAATTTATGATGAGTTAATTAATTGACTGGCTGAGGAGAGTTATGAGAACTTTCCTGTCATCATTTGCACGTGTAATAAACTATTCCATGTTTCTTGAAGTAATCATCAGCAATTTCTCTTAGAAAAGTGGATATTTATTGATTAAAATTGTCATATTTTCAGGCTCTTGCAAAGACATTAACAGTAGCTCAGCTAGCTTATCTCAGAGATCAATTTACTCTTTTAGGGCCAAACAAAAGTGGATTAATCTCTATGCAGAACTTCAAGACGGTCAGCACATGTCTGAAGTTAGAAGTTATTGTTTCTTTTTCAAATTTCTTTATGGCATTAACGGTTGTATTGGCAGGCTGTCTTGAGGAGCTCCACAGATGCCTCAAAGGATTCACGGGTCTTAGATTATGTGAATATGGTAAGTTTGAGGGATTATCAGTCACTCATTGACTGTTTTAACAGATTAGCTTCACTGAAAAGTTATTTTGTTATCCATGTTGCAGGTTAGTTCCATCCAATATAGGAAACTAGATTTTGAGGAATTTTGTGCTGCCGCTATAAGTGTGCACCAATTAGAGGGAGTGGAGAGCTGGGAGCAGCATGCTAGGCGTGCCTATGAGCTTTTTGAAAAGGAAGGAAATAGGGCAATTATGATTGAAGAACTTGCCTCGGTAATTTCATATTCCATTTAATATTACCAATATGTTGTCACGGAATTAAATGTGGTGCAAAGCAAAAGCTGCGTTTATCTGATTAATTTATTCCGTAGAACTTATTATCTGCTTGTGTTTAATTGTCCTCTGCATTTATCAACATGTTGGATACCTCAAATGAGATTCTTGATCAGTTGCATTGTATAATCCTTCATCACATTTATAATGATTACTAAGCTCTTTTAGTTTGACATATTGCAGGAACTTGGGCTTAGTCCATCAGTACCTGTTCATGTAGTACTTCAAGATTGGATAAGACACTCAGATGGGAAGCTTAGTTTCTTGGGGTTTGTCAGGCTTCTGCATGGGATTTCTTCCCGCTCGTTTCAGAAGGCTTGAACCAATGGTTTCTATTATTTTTTCTTGCCCATTACCTTTAAATATTTTGATGGGACCTTAATGAATGAGCTAACTCCATCAGTTGACCTCAATGATGGCTTCTGCAAGTTGAAGGCAGTGGCTGATAGGAATTTGTTGCTGATGAAGCTGTATGCAACATCTTCATATATCAATCCCACTTTTCCCAAATTTACAAACACAACCTTCTCCCCACCTTGTTTCTCACTCATTTTAGGTTGGTGATTCTGGAGTTAAAGGCTTGTACAGATGAAAACTAGACCAGAAATTGTACCTAGTACCATCAGAACCTCTGAAAAATGATGAGTTGTCTTCGAGGGTTTACCTCCTGTGTACCCATGGCACCTATCAATAAACCTTATCACGTGAACTCCTAGACAGTTGACAATTTTTTAGCCTTTTTCTTGTTGTATTTATGTTATTATTCAAGGCCACAAGAGATGGTACTTTCTATATACTACAATATAGCTTTATGGAGTTTTGAATCTATAAATTCTTCCAACTATGCAAACACAACACTTTTCCTTTGATATCGGTATCGGTGGCTTTGGCTAATCAGCTACGCTCAATATCTTTAGATGGTTCCAAACTTCTAATGATATCAGTGTAAAGTTTTGCAGTCATTCAAAAGCTTCTGGATTTCAATATGTTGGTAATTGAGTCTTCATTTTAGGATATTAATTTCAGTCTTCTAGCGCCGAAACTCTAATTCTTATAGTTAGGAGAACATTCTTTTTATTATATAAAAATGCCTAGTATATATTTTTCTTTTTTGTTTGCTATATTGAAAAGGAAAATACCTTCTGTTAGTGTGTACAATTACTGACCTAGATTCCTTTTTATCTCCCATGTAATCATTCATTATTCACAGTAGAATTCAATTTTTTTCTTCATGGTATTTGAGTTTGATTAAAACCATTATTGATTTTAGACACTATCATCAGCTCAGATATGATGAGAGACAAACCAGAGGATCTGTCCATGACTAACTCTATTGAAGGACGTACCCTTCCTACAACAAGGCACAATATCCAAAATTTCTTCCCATAAGATCAATTTAGCCCTTTTCTTCAAGGAAAGGAAGAGTAAGTACTTCAGAGGCGAAGCCATAGATCCCAATCTCAAAATAGAAGCTCAAGATAATGTCATGGTTGCTAAACAAGATGCGCCTACGTTGCATGGATACACGTAAAGTACCGCCACCGGGTACAGAATATTGTATTTTGAAAAAAAGGTATCTATCATATAAAAAGAATCAGCTGATATGAATCTGCATAATGTGTCAATAATGAACGTCAGCCCCATCAAATTATGCACACTTTCTTGAACAATGAGGATCCTAATGTAGTCGATCCTGAAACGTATGCTTTCCTTCGTATTTTGTACACCCCAAATTCTAGCTTATGAATATGACAGCTCCCAGATTGCCTTACTTCTTTAGAAATGCGAGCATACATAAAAATGCTACTGCCCGAGCAATTACTCCCATGAGAACGAGGATAGATATGCACAAACCCCAATCATGAAGATTATACCCACTTTTCAGTAGTGAACCACAACGAGTTATGAGCCACACCCCATGATACCTACAGTATACAAGGGATTAGCACAAACAGTAATCAGATACATCAAGTAATTCTCTATTTTTTTTCCATTTACATGCCTACTAGAAGCTGCTGATATCAAGCACACTGCAACATAAATTAAAGAGTATATAGTAAGCTTATTTACTCTGCGAGCTTCTCATTCTACTGCATTCACTCGATACAAATGCACTTCAATTTAGTCATAATTTATGATTCACCTGAAATGTGTGCTAAACTACTCCACCCTACCATGTGGATCGCAGTTTATTCAACTTGTGTCTGGATTATTGTAAACCTTATTGAAATATAAAATAATCCTGCCTTTTACCTATTAACTGGAGACAGGGGTTAAAACTTAGTGATTAGAAATTGTGGATTGTGTTTCAATAAGAAAACTTCATCCAACAATAAACAGCAATTTAAGATTTGATGATTATAATATGGCTACATTACTCACTTGATCCTTTTTTTTATTTAATTGATCTAACTTGATCCATTTATTCATAGAAGTAAATGGATCAATTTGAAAGAGAATCAATGTTGTCTTTTTGATCCAATTAACCATAACTACGTAAGCAAATTTGAACACAATCAATTTCATTCCGTTATGGTCAATCAGACAATAAAGTACCAAATTGAATCAATTAAAAAAAGGATAGACCAAATGAATAATTTATCCTTAATATATATTTAAGGGAGCTCGGCACTAGAAACTGGTAAGATTATTTATTTATATCATCATCCACCACACCACCATCATATTTCATTATTTATAAGGGCTTAATAACCCTTATATTCCCCACACGCCTTCGTAGCTTTGTTATGTATCCAAGCAGTTATCCCATTTCTTACAAAATTGTACCCTTCCATCCCCCATTAACTTTTTCTGCAATCTCTCCCATGAAAGAGGTAATTTAGTTTCCATCTCTCCCATGAGTCTTCGCTTAAAAATTAAAGCTTTTGGAATAATGATTGCTTGATATGATATAGAAAATGTATGACCAAATGGTCAAGAGTTAGTCACCCCAGTCTTGTAAAGAGGAAGGCTAGGACCGCTCTTTTTCTTAGACAGTTTCTTATTGACTAAAACTTATTGAAAATACAAATTTCAATCAATATTAGAGACTGTGTTTAAAAACTATCAGTTCATAGTTACCATTTCTATCTTCTAAATAAAAGTTGGAAATTCGAATGCAAGAAGATAAGTGAGCATGCACATTGTCCACAAGCTCATAATGCCTTGAATGTGGGAGCTTGTTGTTTGTTTATTGTTTTACCCACTACTGGGTCATTATAGGACCATCCTCAAATATTGAATTCTATATTTGAGATGTTCAATCCTCGCATGGGTGTGTTAGAAATCAAACAACGATCAAATTATAGTATAAAAATGAGATATAAACTTCAACTTCTAAACCAATTTTATAGGGTTGAGTTAGACCCAAATCTACGTTTTAATAGATGTCAAAACCCCTGGGCTTTTTTACCTAACAACTTAAGATTTCCCTAGCACTGGTCCTTGACACATTTGAAATTCCACCACTTAACTTCTTAACCATCATTATACCATGTTGTTGATTAAGCACTTCTAAAGCATCACCTTACAATCATTTCACATTCTTTGTTATCCGTCATTATTTCAAGCAAATAATGAATTTGTTTTCTCCCTGTCAAATGGGTAAAGACTTGAGTTGATGCAGTCAAACTATGTGTCAAGCTTCCATTTCAAACAGCAACAAATTACTAATCCTTTTTCTTCAAGGATTTAGGTATCATCAAATCTTAGGCTAATGAGCAATTTCCAAAGTAGTTTTTCCCTCCTTATATGGTTCTAAAAGCTGACAATCACTGTGGGCCCTCCTATAATCTTCTTCTCTTACAACATGCTTGTTTAGATAATTTGGTCTTCAAGTGAAATGGTTAGGATCACCCCCTACCCAAAAATACTTCATCTAAGCATCTGGTTCAGTTTAACTGGCATACATACATCCATGAACTAGCTTTATAACGATGATCAGACCATCTTTCTCTTTCAAATGTACTCTTACCTCCTCAAGAGTGTCATACATGATGATACCCATTCCAGTCCTAGTGCAATATCTTTGTGGCAACCACAACTTCTAAACTGAGAAAAAATAATGTGCATAACTCTCCAACCTGTTGTTTTGTTTGCAGTCATAATGTATCTATCCTTCTTCTAATCATTCTATCCTCCATCTCCATATCCATTCCCATTAATGTCCCAAATGGTCCAGTTCTCCGCTTCAATCTCTTAGTTCTCACAGGTACTTCATTTGGGCCAAGCAGCTCATCTGTTGCTGGGGATGTTCAACGCAGCAACCCTTGTTTATTTTACAGATTATACTGATACCCAAGGAGATGTAGTAACCTCACTTCTCTATAGATGCAGGCATTTAGCAAATCGCTTCAAGGGAACAAGAATCAAACACTAGTGGCACTCAATACAAATTATAATGAACAGTAAATTACCTTTCAGCATTTGCAATTATGAACGCTTCTAAAGCCCACCTAGGGTAGCACAAATAAGCTATATTCTTCAAAATTTTACTATCTTTTGGTTGTGTTGCAATGAGTGTCAAAACAACTGGAAGCAGCACTGACCACTGCAAGAAACAGTAACATGTCAGAGTGGAAGTGAAAATATATTGAGTAAAATTTGAATTGGGAGTTGGTAAAAGTTTGATTATTTGCTTCTAATACTCACTAGCTGGGCTGCACCGGGTTCAAAGAGTATGGCAAATGCATATGCTATGCCAGTAACACAATATACAAGACAAAACAGCACAATGTAATTATCTGCAAAAGTTGATCTTGGATAGGTAAAGAAATAGAACATTGAGAGGTAAATCACAGGTTTTATCATTGTATTGAAATGATCAATTGTGTCTTTGGAGAGGAAATACGCCAAGCTGCTCATGCCAGAATCACTCTCCCTCCAGTAGTGTAATTTGTCTAGAGAAAATGATCTCAAGGCAGATATTTTGCATAAAAGAGCTGAAATTAACAATTATAATAAATTAGAATAAAGAACTGTACACATGAATTCTGAAAATCTAATTGGAATAGCATTAAATTTATTCCAACTGCAAAACGAAAGTCCTGATGAAAATCTTCCATTACGTTCAGACAAAGAGTGATTAAAAGCTTATATGTTTGTTGGAACAAATTGCAAATATAAATTGAGCTATCATGAGAAGTTAAAGTATTTGTGGTGGAATGAGAAATTTTATTGATTATTTGTGGTGGAAATAGTGATGTTAACTATTATGTCATTGGGAATTATGAGAGTTTAAGTATTATGAGATTCATGCTAATCTTTAAGTCTTTATTATCATTAATTATGCAAACGTAAGAAGTACTGTCTTTTGCATGTATAAATATTAACTAGCAAGAACGGTGATTGCTGCTTGCTACTTAAGCAATGCATAGAACTTGTGTCTAATTCCTCGTAAGTTCGTCTTAAAAGATTATCAAGCTCAACCTTGCTTCTGCCCAGGGTGTTGCAGTTCTGTTAAAGCTTCTGCATCTAATGAGAATTAATAAATGACTTCCTACAGCTCAATATGATCATCTTTAATAGTCAGCCTCTGCACGTCAACAAATGAAGAAGCTAATAGGAGAAACTTGATCATCAGGCACAGGTATCTGTTGAGGAACTTCCCCAAATGCTGGCCTATTTTAAATAGATCCTTGCACCTAGTTGTAAGCTATTATGTATTAAACCATGAATTCACCAATTGAAATTTGGGGATCATCAGAAAATGAAGTTATCTGGTAATAAACAAGCGGACTTTAAAGTCACTCAGTGAAAGTCAAGTCCATGCTCAGTCAAGTATTTGTATGTTCAGATTTTATTTGTAGTTTTGTAAAACTGTGATTTTCGAAAACAATTTTTCAGAGACAACATAATGTTTTAATAGAGGCATTAAATAGCAGTATCTTAGTTTTATTTCTGGATCAACCATGTAATTTTAAACTAACATCATAAAGTTTTACAGACACAGGAATAATTTTAGTCTGCAGTCAAAATTTATCATTATATATTTTCTTTTGAACTAGTTGAGAGACTGGGTAGCACAATGAATAACAGCATGAGGCTCCCAATCAGTGGGGCCTGAGAAGGATAGATACACTCAGCTAGAATGCCACTTAACAACAACCTCAGGTCACAAGGTAACAACTTTACTGTCTGTCATGCAAGGCTTGCCCTCAAAATTAGTGGGGTATTATTACAGAGAAATAAAACATGATCTGTGCATTATCACAGACTGTGTTTCCAACATAGATTCAAAACGTACAATAGCAAAGAAAAATTATATAACGTGAAAAGCATTATGTAGCTTCATTTAAAAGTCAATTAACTTTTAATGCGTTAGGAAAATGATATAAAGTTTCAACACTATGTATTAGAATCAATCAACTTACATACAGCAATCACCGTGTAGGTGTACCCAGCTGCACCAAAGGTCTGATCGCTAGCTTTAGTAAGTGATCCTAAGCAGGCTCCAGCAAGTAACAATATTAAATAATCTATAGCTTGGATCTTAGATTCTCGTAATCTCTGTTTACCAACCCTGAGACAGCATTGACACGAAGTAGGGTACCACCAATTAGCAAAAGAAAATTCAGACACCAAAATCGGACATATTATCATTAAAAGGTTATTTACTACTCTCTCTTCCACACAGAAATTTAGACCATGAAAATTCATATACAATTGTTCAATCTGCAGCATTCAAAAAAATCTCCTGACACTATCCAAGCTATGTTCTTTCAAAAGAAACTATTTTAAGCAAGAAACTATTTCCAGGGAAAAAAAGAACCCCAAGTCAGAAAAGTTAAATGTTCAAGTTAACAAATAGTTTAAGTCATTGGATGGTTTACCTTATAAGAAAGTACTTGTATTGTTTGAATATACCAGGAGTTTTACGGTCAGATAAATCCTTGGATTTTAAAAAATTGAGTCTTATTTTCTCCCTCTTTAGTTCCATAACATTTCCCACATCATGCCATAATTCTGCAACAAAGCTTCTTTCTTCATGGCTAGAGCCATCAGGATCTTTTTCTCTAGCTGGGTTTGCAGTTGCAAACATACCAAATTGTGCTGCATTCTTCTGCATATCGAGAGGTACTGGGTATCCATTATGAAGCATCCATCTAACTGGCAGCTCTTCATAACTGACTCCTGAACTTCCACTAGGTACTGCTATGCCCTCCAAAATGTCAATGAAGTAATCAGGAGGATTTATGCGTTTTGGTATATTTATCCCAAGGTCTGCAAAGTATTCTTCAACTTTCTTGACTGGTCCATGATATACAGTAAGACCACCTTTTGCGAGGAGTATCAAGTCATCGAACATATTAAACAAAGCATAGCTACAGCAAAGCGGTCAAACCATTAATTAACAAAAGGGAAAGAATACATTGTTGACGAGTACAAATTAAAGCATGCATATATGAGATTTTTGTTATCCAATTTTCCTGATTTTATTTCCTAGAAACCTTAATTAACATTGTTCATATGTAGCCTAAGCCCTGTTAATATCCAAAATCCCCCCAGCAGCGATGTTGTTCTTTGACCATCATCCAATTGCTTTCAGATCACACTTATCCAAATATTCGGGTAATAAGTCCTGAATTCCCCCACTTTATTGGCCATATTTTACCCCCAAAAGCAGAACTATAAACCCTTGGAATATTGCTTGGGTTTTCTGGGCTACCCTGCTTCTAAACTTTCTGAAACAGCATGGTTAGATGAGTTGAAAGAAATTTATTTACTCCATAAATGTGTTAATAGTAAAAAACTTAGTATTCTAAATGTTGGAAGCTAGTATTTGGTAACAAATATTCCCAACTTTCACATTAGGAAAATATAAAATCAACTGAAAGATAAACCCCCATGATGCAGAAGACATGGAATTAAAAGTCACCTGGGCTGGTGAACCACCATGCAAATGTTCACTCCTTCAAGAGCTTCCCGTCTTAGTGCTCTAAGAAGGAGTTGAGATGATGCACTGTCCAACCCAGAAGTGGGTTCATCCAAGATCATGAGTGACGGTTCCATGACCATTTCCAATCCAACATTTACACGTTTCCTTTGGCCTCCAGAGATGCCTCGCTTTTCTACAGTTCCGACCAAAGAATTCCGCACAGATTCAAGCCCCAAAAATTCAATAACTCTTTCAACAATCAGAACTTTTTCTTGTTTTGGCAAGTCAGCAGGTAGCCTTTTAAAGTAAGAAAAATTCATTTTATTGCCAAATATTCAAGCTTCAAAAAGCTACAGCAAACAATAATATGTACACAAGAATTAGAAGAAAAGGCATAAGATTAAAGCTCGGTATATTGAAGCGTTTTACATTGGCTACACAGAGAAAATGTTCAAAGTGGGTTTTGAAGCCACTATTCCATGCTTTAACAAAGCGCATAAGAACTACTAGAACACTTAGCTTGGTATATAGTAGGCATGAAATTACAGCTAGACAAAAGAAAACTGATAATAGTTGGTAAGCATCGGAGAAGATGGGGATAACTCTTATGCTGAAAATGCAGATTTTTATAGACTATCTAAAAATAAATATGAATAGAAAACTTAAGGGGGCATCTACTTAATCTTTTATTTTTCTGTTTTCACTTTTTCATACAAAGCTGCCACATTTTTTTCAGTCTGATCCCGATTTTCAAAGATTTGTACAAGAAACATTGAAAACAGAACACGTTGTATTCATTCTTTCCTGTACAAATATCTGAAAATAAAAAACAGATTGTAAAACAAGGTAGCTCTTTTGTAATTAAAAAGAAAAAAAAAAAGAAAATGCTATTTAATGACAGAACTTGAGTATTCCATTTACGCAATATAGGCTAAAATTAAATTGTAATCATAGTGCCACTAGTTCTTCAAGCATGTCGCATATGGTGATCATGAAGCCCCATGTTTTTCCTCTGTTCAATGATAAGAAATGCTTCAATTTCTTCATTTTCCCATCTAACACCATGAATCATCAAGAACTTAAGATCGAATTGTGATAGAGTTGCGTATAGACTATCTCAGTCTCTTATGTTTAAACTAGGAACTCCTCTTTTGAGGCCAAGTGGTCAAGAAGAAAGACAGTTTAAGAGTATAATGGAACTAAAACTTGATCCACGATTAAATAGGAAAGAAGAGTCGATCAAATATAAATATAGGACACCAGTTTTAAACACATAGCATGAATAAAACAAATTAATAAAAAAAATAGAATATATAGAAGCTGGAATTTCCAATCATCTGATTTACCTGCACAGTGCACTGAACCGGAAGTTTTCTTCCACAGTCAGGTTTCCATGAACTATATCATCTTGTGGCACAAAGCCAATAATTTTCTTATAGGAGTGGATTGATTCATTCTTTCCATTTACAAAAATGGAACCAGACACCTTGCATCCTAATGCCTTTCCAGCTATTGCTGAAAGAAAGGTTGTCTTGCCAGCACCTGATGGACCCATGACAGCAGCAATGCGTCCAGGTTTAATTTTCCCCGTAACGCATCTCAATATAAGTTTATTGTGTGCTTTCAATGTGAGAGATAGATCTCTGAAAGATATTTCAATTAAAGGCCTTTTCCTTCGTTCATTTTTTGTAGCCATACTAATTACTTCTGAGAATGTAAGATTCTTGTTTTCTTGTTGCTGAGCCTTTTCTTTCTCAAGTTGAGCATATGCATACTTAAAAATTTGGCTATGTGTATTCAGTTGTTTTTCCTTAGTCACTCTTGCTGTAACATTTTTCTCTCTAGTTTCTGTTTCTACATGAACATTGTTCCTAATATTTGCATCGTTTTCCATTTGATTCATTGTCTGCATCAGATCACTGGGATCAATTCCCTTTCCCTTTAGCCCAGTAGATGAACTATCAATCATAGATGAGAAAAGAGGATGTATACTTGAAAACAATTCAATCTTTGTTTCGGTAGCTGGTTTATTCAAAATTTTAGTTTCTTCTGGATCTACAAAGTCCTTTTTCCGAGTAAATGTTTGTGATAGTTGTGCTTGCAATCCACTTGCACCCTCCTTAGCAGCATCTTTTGCATCTTTCCATCTTTGGCGTGCATTTGCAGTCTTCCTTACACTTCTGGCTGCTGCTTCTCTGGACTTAGCCATTCTCCTTTCCCTAGTAGTCAGAACTTGGTCTGAACAGCTGTAGATAATGAGTAGCAAAGTACTCAAAGCAGCCTGCAAAAGCAGTTAAAGACTTTTGTTAACCTCTACCTACCAACACGGTGTGTATGTGTGAGCTTGGCGTTTTGCATCTCTGTATAGGACAAGGAATTAAGCATTAGCCATAATTCCAATATCATCTGTGCTCATGATGGAAAAGGAACAGAAAGTAGGAAGCATAAAATATCAAAAATTATTTTCTGGGCATGTATCCATATGACTACTTTAATAAAAAGTTGTTGGAATGTAGTACTTGTTCCTCCATAACTGTTGGGATTTTTGCGACGGGGGCAACATTAGGTCAGTAGGAGTTAGAAGGGGACATAACAGAAAGGATAGGTGGCAAGTGATGAGTGGAGAGAGACGAAAACAATTCAATAGAGGGAAGGTGAGGGGACCGAGAGAGGTACCAAGGAATTTATATTATTGGTTTTCTTAACGTCACGTGTGTGAAGGTTAAAAATGAGATATCCTTTTGTGATAGGTTTGAAACCGAGATATATACATGGATGGACTCCGGGATCAAGTTTCTTAAGATGAGCTTAAAGGGTATTAATATAGTACAACAGCCAAAAACACGAAGTGTGGAAATATCGCATAGTTTGTTATATAGTTTTTGAAAAGGAGATATATTTTGTAAGAAAGGAGTTGAAATGCAATTTATGAGATGAACAACATGTATGATGTTAGGTAAACATTAAATGCATGTAGTTGAGAGGTAGTGGTTATAGAGGTAGTAGTTGAGAGGTAGTAGTTGTATTGAATGTATGTAGTTGAGAGATAGTGGTTATATTGAATGTATGTAGTTGAAAGGTAGTAGTTGTATTAAATGCATGTAGTTGAGAGGCCATATCCAAAGGTCTATAAATTGATCATGTATCACTCATTGCAAAACACATCAAGTGATAATATACAAAGTGTTTTATTTAGATACTTGTTTGTCAACAAATTGGCATCAGAGCTTGAGAGTCTGAGTGCGTTAGAGAGAGTGTTTGAGAGTTAGAGAGTTTGTTCGAGATGACCAACTTAGCTAACAGCATACCACTGCCAAAGTTATCAAAAGGCGTAAGCTATGATAACTGGAGCCTGCAAATGAAGGCTCTCCTTGGTTCCCAAGAAGTATGGGATGTGGTCGAAAATGGGCACCAAGAACCAGAGAATATTGAAGAGCAGACGATTCCTCAGCTTGTTGCATTGAGAGCAACACGAGTAAAGGACAAAACGACTTTGTACGTACTGTACCGAGCTGTTGATGAGTCCGGCTTTGAGAAGATAACAAATGCTAAATCTTCAAAAGAAGCGTGGGATATTCTGGAGAAGGCATATAAAGGGGATAATCGCGTGAAGCAAGTCAGGCTTCAAACTCTTAGAGGCGAGCTTGAAAGCATGAGGATGAAAGAGGTCGAAGGGGTTGCCGAGTACATCTCCCGTGTTGAGACCGTGGTGAATCAACTCGAAAGAAATGGAGAGACGCTACCCACTTACCGAGTGGTGGAGAAAATCTTAAGGTCGTTAACTGACGACTTCGAGAATATCGTTTGTGCAATAGAAGAGTCTAAGGACTTATCACTGCTCTCGGTAGAAGAGCTTGCCAGGTTGCTTGAAGCGCATGAGCAGCGGAGAAGAAAGAAGAAAGAGGAGTCCCTTGATCAAACACTCCAAGCAAAGGCAACCTTAAAGGAGAAGAAGGTTCCTTATGCTCAGAACACTCAAGGCCAAGGTGGTAGAGGCAGAGGAGAATATGAAAGAGGCAAGGAGCAAGTCAGTCAACAAAACTGGCGTGGCCAAAGACAAGGTAGAGGTCGTGACGGTAGAGGTCGAGGTGGTCAGTCAAGCAATTCCGAAGTTGAGTGCTTCAAATGTGGGAAGTACTGTCATTTTGCTAAGGACTGCTATTCAGGTATCAAATGTTATAATTGTGGGAAGGTTGGGCATTTCGCGAAGGACTGCCGATCTGAGAGGAAGAAGGAGACAAACCTCCTCTCTGAGGACATTGAGGAAGAAGGAGTATTGATGATGTCGAGAAGTTCGGATGTCGAGCTAAGTCCGAGCTGTTCTGACAACTCGGTTTGGTATCTTGATACAGGAGCAAGTAACCACATGTGCGGGGACAAGAACCTTTTTAAGGAGCTCACTAAAATTGAGGTCGGACACGTGTCATTTGGAGATGCATCAAAGGTGGCAGTAAAAGGCAGATGTACAATCTGGTACCTGCAGAAGAATAGCCGAGTTGGAGAAATCAGAGACGTGTACTATGTACCCGATCTCAAAAGCAACATATTGAGCATGGGTCAGCTGATGGAGAAAGGCTACTCGGTTCTGATGAAAGACCGAGTACTATACCTGAAGGACAAGTCGGATCGTTTGATTGCCCGAGTTGAAATAAAGAAGAACAGAATGTACAAGCTGGACTTGAAGATAATCCAAAAGAGGTGCTTGAAACTTAACGTGAAGGATGAAGCAATGATGTGGCACTTTCGGTTTGGCCACTTGCATTTTGGCGGGCTGACCGAGTTGGTAAAGAAAGAGATGGTGCGAGGACTCCCATCTATGAAATTTGAAAAGAAATTTTGTGAAGAGTGTGTGATCGGAAAGCATTCGAGGACCTCATTTCCGAGGACGGCCGAGTACCGTGCAAAGGAACAACTCGGATTGATTCACACAGATCTTTGTGGACCGATTACCCCTGAGTCCTTCAGTGGGAAAAGGTATTTCATTTCTTTTATAGATGATTTTTCAAGAAAAACCTGGGTATATTTTTTAAAGGAGAAATCCGAGGTGTTTGAGGTGTTCAAGAGATTTAAAGCAATGGTTGAGAAAGAGACTGACATGCCTATCAAATCTGTTAGGTCTGATCGAGGAGGCGAGTTCATTTCATCTGAACTCATGAAGTATTGCGAGGAGCAAGGGATAAGGAGATTTCTGACAGCACCATACTCACCCCAACAAAACGGAGTTGCCGAGAGGAAGAATCGAACCATTCTTGACATAGTTTGAACAATGTTGAGAAGCAAAAATGTGCCAAAGGAGTTCTGGGCAGAAGCAGTACAATGTGCCATCTATGTGCAAAATAGATGTCCACATGCTAAGCCGAACGAGAAGACACCGCAAGAAGTCTGGAGTGGAAGAAAACCGAGTGTGTCTCACTTTAAAGTGTTCGGTAGCATAGCTTATGGTCATGTTCCAGCTCAACAGAGGACCAAGCTCGAGGATAGAAGCAAAAAATACGTGTTTATTGGGTATGATGAAAAAACCAAGGCGTACAGGTTGTTTAACCCAATAACTAAGAAGGTCATCATGAGCCGAGATGTTCAAATTGATGAAGAAAGCGAGTGGAGTTGGAACAATCCGGAGAAGGAGTCCATAGGAAGTAGAAGCTCGGAAGTTGATACACCACATATTGTGAGAGATCATGAGACTTCTGATGAAGAAGATGAACCTCTACAGCCCAGAGCGCGAAGTTTACAAGATGTATACAACTCCACTGACGAAGTGCATGTTGTATGTCTCTTGGCAGATTCAGAAGACTTAAGTTTTAAAGAGGCCGTGCAAGAGAAAAGGTGGAGAAAGGCAATGGACGAGGAAATCAGAGCAATAGAACGCAACAACACATGGGAGCTGACTGATTTGCCCAAAGGAGCACGGCATATCGGCGTAAAGTGAGTGTACAAGAAGAAGACAAATGCTAAAGGAGAAGTTGAGCGATATAAAGCTTGACTCGTAGTGAAGGGGTACAAGCAGAAAGAAGGAATAGACTATGACGAAGTATTCGCCCCAGTGACGAGAATGGAAACAATTAGGTTGCTGATTTCCTTAGCAGCTCAACACAGATGGACAATCTTGCAGATGGACGTGAAGTCGGCATTTCTGAATGGAATCTTGGAGGAGGAAATATATGTTGAACAGCCACTCGGATACATGCGAAGAGGAGAAGAGAAGAAAGTGCTAAGATTGAAGAAGGCACTTTATGGCTTGAAACAAACTCCACGAGCATGGAATGAAAGAATTGACACTTACTTCAAAAGGAATGGATATGAGCAGTGTCCTTATGAACATGCTCTATACATAAAGAAGAAAGGAGAAGATGTGATGTTTGTTGCCCTATATGTTGATGACCTTATCTTCATGGGGAATAATGTTGAGCTGATTGAAGAGTTTAAAGAAGTGATGAAGAAGGAGTTTGAGATGACTGACTTGGGTCTTATGAAGTATTTTCTTGGCTTAGAAGTTGTTCAGGGAAAGGATGGCATCTTTGTGTCGCAGGAAAGGTATGCTGAGGAGGTCTTGAAGAAGTTTAAGATGACAAGTTGTAACCCGGTTTCCACCCCTATGGAACCTGGTACAAAACTTTCTAAGTATGCAAATGGAGACCGAGTTGATGCGAGCAAATACCGAAGTCTGATTGGAAATCTTAGGTATCTTACAAATACTAGACCAAATTTAATGCTAAGTGTTGGAATAACAAGTCGATATATGGAGGAGCCAAGGTATACTCATTGGAAGACACTAAAGAGAATTCTAAGGAATGTGAGAGGAACAGTGTCACTTGGCCTAATGTATACTAGGACGGATGATTATCGACTAGTAGGCTACTCAGATAGTGACTGGTGTGGAGATGTTGATGACCAGAAAAGCACGTCTGGATATGTATTCTTCATGGGAAACACAGCATTCACCTGGCTTTCAAAAAAGCAGCCCATTGTAACGTTGTCAACTTGTGAAGGCGAGTACGTTGCAGCATCTTTGAGTGTCTGTCATGCAGTTTGGCTTAGAAACCTTCTAAGCAAGCTGGAGTTGAGGCAAGAAAAAGGGACTGTGATTCGAGTTGATAACAAGTCGACAATTGAATTGGCAAAGAACCCGGTCAATCATGAGAGAAGCAAACATATTGATGTTCGGTTTCACTTTATCCGAGAACAAGTGAAAGAAGGAAATGTGGAGTTAGAACACGTCGGAACCCGAGTACAAGCTGCAGATATGTTCACGAAGCCACTGCCAACCACTCTGTTCGAGAACAACAAGAAGATGCTTGGAATGAAGGACAAGAAAAGCATTTAAGTTTATGGGAGGATTTTGTTAGGTAAACATTAAATGCATGTAGTTGAGAGATAGTGGTTATAGAGGTAGTAGTTGAGAGGTAGTAGTTGTATTGAATGTATGTAGTTGAGAGATAGTGGTTATATTGAATGTATGTAGTTGAAAGGTAGTAGTTGTATTAAATGCATGTAGTTGAGAGGCCATATCCAAAGGCCTATAAATTGATCATGTATCACTCATTGCAAAACATATCAAGTGATAATATACAGAGTGCTTTATTTAGATATTGTTTGTCAACATATGATAGCAAAATTCCAAAAAGAGGGTGGTAAGTTGAAGTGAAAGAGAAGAAATCAATTTAAAAATAGAGATTAAGTTAAACGTGAAATCAGGAATGTACAAAACATTTGTTAATTAGAAGGACTCATTGAATTTGATTATGCCAGAATGAGTAGCATGAACATGATGACCTATGGACAACTTAACAACTATAGGATCAATAGATGTATATGTAAAGAAATTAGAAAGGGAGGAAGACACATGATCAGTTGCACTAGAATCAATGATCCAGGAGGATAGACGGGAGGATAGACGGGGCGAGAAATGACAGAACAACAATTACCTGAAGAAGAGGGTTGTGTAGAGATAGAACTGATAGAACCAATAGTAGTGTGGGAGGAAGAAGGAGTTGAGCTACCATTGGTGGACTGTTGTATTAAAGTCATTAAGGCTTGATATTGCTGTTGAGTGAAACGAAAATCCTGGGACATGGGAGCTTGCTGTTGATCATTATGAGTGACATTACAAGCATCAATCACGATGTTGTTGACATCAAATTTCTTTCCTGGAGAAGATTTATGACCTGGAGGAAAACCATGTTTGTGATAGCAAACCTCTATGGTATAACATGTTCTACCACAATAAGTGCAAATTTTAGTGAATTTGTTAGAATAACGAGAGCCTTTGTTATCATGCGTGGAGGGAAAACCATGTTTCTTATAACAAAGATTCTTAGTATGACCAGCACGTCCACAATGAGTGCAACTGAGCGAGGATGTAGCAACATTAACCATAGTCGTTTTGGAAGAAACATTACCAACAAAATCGGTTCCTATTAATTGGCGTTCTTGCTGAGCAACAAATGAAAATATCTTGAAAATTGAAGGGATAGGATCCATAAGAAGGACATGAGATTTGATGTTGTTGTATTGATCATTCAAGCCACGTAAAAATTACATGGCATGATCCTCTCGTTTTCTTTGTGTAATGGAAGGAAGAACCTTACAACAACATTTAATCGAACAGGTGCATACGGGCTCAGGTAAAAAATTCTCCCATTCATCCCAAATGATACGAAGTTTAGTGAAAAACTCGGTAATGGACATATCACATTATCGAAGGGAAGATGCATACTGTAGATCTGAAATACGTAGGAGATCGCCTTGAGAATAACGAGATTTGAGATCATTCCATATCTCATCAGGTCGGATTGAAGGAGATACAAAATGTACTATCCATGAAATAACCATGTTGCATCGTTTCCAAGTTGAGTAGGTGAGATCAGATTTAAGAGGTTGAGGGGCAGATCCATCAATAAATTCCAGTTTGTTTTTAGCACTAAGGGCTGTAATCATTGATCTGCTCCATGAATGGTAATTACCGGAGTCAAGAATAGGTGACACTAAAGCTGTGGCAGGATTCTCTCGAAGGTGTAAGTAAAGAAAACTATAAATATTAGGTGTTTGATTTGAGGCTTCAGTCATGATGAAAAAGAGTAGAAAGAAAGCGCAGCAGTGGAAGAGCTCTAATACCATAATAAAATTCATAAAAGAATAAAGAGGTGATATGTATTTACAGAAAGAGCAAGCGGTAGTAAAAGAATGATCAACAACTGTTATATCTTTCTTTCTTATTGAGATATGGTGGAATATATACAAAGAGAAGGAAGCAGAGAGAGAATAACAGAAAGATTCATCTTAACAGAAAAGATATTGCAAAAAGATGTAAAACAGAAAAAGAAGGACGTAAAATAGGTAACGACGTAAAATATGTGACGTTGACGTAAAACACGTGACGTTAAGAGGATTCTTTTCTATTATTGATCTTGTAACGAAGGTTTATTCTTTTGAGATCGTTCTAATTCAGTATCAATATCACTTTAGTTTTACCATTTCTATTACTGTTTCTATCAGGGACAAAATGATTTCGGCAGGTACAAGATGGAAATTAGAATCTAAATGGGAGAGAAATATGAAACAGGAAAGTAGTTACAGATGGAGAAGTAGAATTGCACGAAAATTTTCAAATCTTAAAATTTCAAGCTTAAGTCTCTAAGCAGACCCATAGAGATTATTAAGCAATTTTAAATATTCGAAACAGATTGGATATGACTAACTCCGAAAAGGCAGCTTAAGGAGACAGATTCTGTATGCTCCGATTCCGTATTAGAAACAGACTGGACCTGGCTTACTCTCTAAAGTATTCTGTTCATATTCTCCTGACCAATGTCAGACTCGTTTAACACTAAATTACTAAAAGCCCCTAAGAAACCCCAATTTATCATAAATGAAACAAAACAACCCCAAAATAACAATAGAAATCTATGATCTGAATAAATGCACATATATACCTATTCCATAATCCATCAAATTAAGAGGTGAAAAACTTACAATGAGCATGATTCCATATGCTTGCATATTTTGGGTCACTGTGTTTGAATCACATGAACTCAACTTGAAGCACCCTGCAAGACAATAAGGAAATGATCATATATACTCCGGAAACATTTGGTCAGAAGCTTATGAGAGAATCTACAACTGAAACACAGATGCATTGTTGCCATAATTCACAATTTATGAGATCTTACGTTGCTCAGATGTAGAGCCCGTCCTGCAGTAATGCCTGGAATTACAAGAAAGAAGTTTCAAGGAATCACGATAATGAACAAGAAGGTATCATAATAGTATAGGCATACTAGTAAATAAACTAAAGTCATCATTTTTTGCTGACTAGTTTAAAGTTTGATGTGTTCAAGTGCAACTAAGAAAGATCATGGCATCCAATATCTTAAATACTTTGGATTACTTCATCAAGATCCAACGTTTGCAGTTTATTAAGGAGTAACCACCGGTAGGAATAAAACAGTACCCACTACTACAGGGAACTTTTTTGGTAATTGTGGAGCAATATGATCCTGCTGAACAGAACATCTCACTACTGCTACTAATATCAGCCCAAATATTTGCTCCTCCACAGGTATGATTCGGCTGCAGTGGAGGCAATTGATAAAGATATCTGCAGAAATATATCAAGTCAATTAATATTCTACACAAAGCATGCAAGTAATAAACATAAACAGAGTAACAGACCATAGTACAAGAATTAGAACTCACGGTTCACAAACACCAGTTGTACTATTGAGTGTAGCAAGAGGGCAATAAGAACCTAGAGGGCAAGCTTCAAGAAAATATTTCAAATACCAGAAAAAGATGAAAGCATTAGAGACATCATTTGCGTAGATACTTTCTGATAATCAGAACAGTTATTATGTATAATGTCAGTATGCTTTAATTTTGCTACAGATATCACCGCAGAAAACGCATTGAGATTTGTTTTATTTATTGACTAGCATAATATCAGATTTAGTTCCAGAACCAAATAAATTATCAAATAATCAAGATTTCCTCACTGGATGTTGATCTTGATGATGGAAAAGAAAACCATAATCCTTTTATCCGGGTTGCTAGAATGAATTGGCATTGTTATTTATTGACATTTGTATAGATAAGAGGTTCCCACCACTTTGCCTTAACAACCACCCTTCAATCATTGTAAATTCTCACTGTGAACTATGTCAATTTTTTTTTTTATTTTTCTAGTTGTGTATTCTTATTCCTTTACCATGAACTTATGAAAAGCAGGAAGATGCTAATATGTTGAATAAAATGTTGGTATATAGTACAAAAGGTATTTGCAGTTCAGTAATGACGAAAAACATATTTTGAAGATTCTCGTTATACTTACGTATCATGCATGTGATGCCATGAGGACAGAAGAACCCCTCACAACATGCTTGACAGTTTGTAGTTCTGTCAGGTATCTCCTTTGAATTTCTAAGGTCAGGTTGCTGATCTGTGGGAACACTACATGCCCATCCTGGCTCACAACCAGATACCCATGAGTTTAAATTGCAGTTCTTGTTAGGCTTCAAATAGTTGGCACTGCTAGTCCTACTCTCCAATAAGCTATTTAAGTAAAATTTTATTTCTGCTGCTGTACACAACCGTTGTGACATATCTCCTGTGTTTACATCAGATTCCATAGTATAAGAGCGGTGTTAGAATCAAAGCACAGTGGTAAAGAAAACAAATTCAGAACACTGGAATGAGTACATTCAGAGTTTCTAAGAAAACACAGTGAACATGTTTAACTTTAACTGGGCGATGGGAAACAGAAAAATTGGAAATTGAAGGAGAAAAGAGAAAATTGAGTAATTTATTTTCGGAAATACTTTAAGAAATGAAATGAGCGAATGGCATCATTTCTTTTCAGATGTCGGAGTTCATACCTTCAGTCTTCCGAAAGCAAGAGAACACAAAGTCCAAATCAGAAGAAAAATTAAATGCTTTATTCCAATCAGCATTCCTAAAATAAGAAAATTAAACTTCATGATCAAATCAGTTTCTATTTCTACACAATATTATGAGTTCATTTTAATGCATCACGTATGTTACTTTATTTACCATTATAAAAGAAAAAAAAAGTTTTATTTACCTGAAACTAAATTTGAAGCCGCAACTTTTAAATTCACCATCATTAATTCAGTGGACTATAAGTCAGCTTTAACCATTAAATTTGAAATAAGTATTCCACAACTAGGATGGCAAACTGTCCGTTTTGTCTCCCCGGATGGGCGGCCTTACCAGGTTATAATCATGACATACTGATCCATTATAATCATGACGAATTGACCTGTTATAGTCATGATTGACTATAAATCTTATCCATCCCGTCAAAAGATGGGTTATCAGACTGATCCGCTATAATTTACAAAAAAAATAATTTATTTTTTAAAATAATTTTTTTAATAAATTTAATAATAAAATTGTTATTTTTTTATCAATAATTCAAAATATATATATATATATATATATATAATTTCAATTTAATAATATAAATCAATATATTATTTTAAAAAATTATAATTTAGAACAATAATAAAATTTACATAATAACAAATATATATATATATATATATATATATATATATATAACGTTATAACTTATAAAATTTATATTTTTTATATTAAAAAATTTAAATACCTATATCTTTTTTATTTGATAAAATTTCACATTATTATTGGTTGAGTAATTCTTACACTTTTAATTCAAGTCATAAGGATAAAAATAATCAGTCTTAGGATAAAGAACATGAGAGAATATTGTGTTCCAAGTAAGGAGAATATTTTCCGAGAGTGAAACTTTTTTAAATCTCTTTTTAAAAATTTTAACTTTATATATTATCTTTATAATTAATTTTATTACAATAAAAAATTATTTTTTTATTAATTAAATGGACCATGGGTTGGCTCGCTCCGTCCCGCAGATTGACCTGACGAGTTGACGACTTTAGCGGGACAGACTAAAACGATCTGGTAGGCTAAAAACATCAACCCACCCCATCATATTATGACAAGTCTGGCAGACCTACCCACCAAACTTGCCCGTTTTACGATCCCTATCCACAACTTCCTTATGTCTCATCAACTTCTTTGTAAATCATCATGAAATTACTTTTTTTACAGCTTAAATTGCTCTCAAAAATTATAATTTTGAATAATAGTATTAAAAATAAAGAAAGGCTTTAAATTTAAATGACTTGGTTTTGAGCATTCAATTTAAATAAGAGCAAAACACCATTTTACGGACCGAAAAAATTAGCGTCATTACACGGTCATATTAGTCCCTTATTTTTTGTGTCTGAAAAACCAAAAAAATCATCGACATTCATCTTTCAAAGACGAAAATTACATTCTTCTATTTTTCAAAACTAATGTGTCCTATCTAAGATATTTAGGAATCAAATAATATATATATATATATATATATATATATATATATATTATTAAAAATAAAATTATGAGAAACTAAAAAAAATCTTTTTTGTAGCTCTTTTAAAATTAAGATCCCCAGTCTTATGTGAAACTTTAATTCCTTATGTATAAGTCAATTAACTATTCAAGTGTATAAATACATATTTGGGACTGAGATTTATAATTTCAATTTTGAAAAATGGGATTTTTTTATAAGGATTAAACAAAAAACATTGAAAATTTTGTCAGATAAAAAGCAAATATAATTAGTTGAATGATTCTTTTTAATAATCCTTAAAAATATATACTTTTTTCTAATTAATTTAGAAATATATAATAAAATTTTCTTAAAAATAATTTTAATTTTTCATATCTACCCTTAGTTTTGATTACATCTTTATATATTAGTAAAATATAATTCAATTCTTATATATTATATATAGATTAAATTACAGTTTAGTAATAGCACAGAAAAAAATTCATTTATTATTTTATTAATAAATAAATAATTTATAGTTTTAAGTAAATCTCTATATATTATTATTACAATATAATTTTATATATTAATTTATATTTTAATAATAATATACTGAAATCAAATTATATTTTATTAACAGTATGTAAAGGAATTCATAAAATAAAATATAAATTCAAAAAATAAAAGTTTTTTTTTTAATTTATTTAATTTTAGAGTTAAACTAAAATTTGATTACGAGCTTCTTTTAACGAACTCAGACTTCAACCAAAAACAAAAAACTAAGATCATAGTTAGCTTATTTACCATCATTTTATAACATATTTAATATATTATTTCTTCCAACAGTGATATTTAAATAATGTAAATTTTTTGATAGTTATCTTATTTAATAATATAATAATAAATATAAAATTTTTAAATCTTATCATTATTAGAAACATAGACACTTTTTTATATTAAAAATTTTTAAAATAATTATTTTAAAATTATTTATTTAATATATATCATATTTTCTATCTTAAATTTTATATTATTATATTTTTATTATTTTTATATATATTTTTTTAAATATATAAATAATTTTTTATTTTATTTTTTTCTCCACCAAGATCCCATATTCTTTACTTTCAATCCCTCCAAAACGGTTTACTTTATATAATACACTATAGATATTAACAAAGTGAATATTTTTTGGAGTATCTGTGAAATATATACTTTTTTTTTTATTTGTTTTATCTTAAAATTACTGAGCAAAGTTGTGCAGAGAAGTAAACTCACGGATCTTTGACGCAGAAACTGGCGCTGGTTTCGATTTCGTGATTGAGGAGCGAGGTAACATTTGAGATTTCGGCGTAAACGAGCTGAGTGACGCGTTCGCGAACCACAGGGTTATCGTAGTCGCTCAGTTGCTGGCACTGCATCCGGTGGAACAGGACCGAAGCCACCAACACAACGGCGAGGTTGAAGCAACGAAGCAGCTGCGAAGCGTCGGGAACCATTTCGATTAGGTTTTGTTTTCACGAACGTGGGAGAAAGAAACGAAAGAGGTGAAGGAAAACGAAAGTCATCGAAGCGAAGAGTGAATGAATTGAACGCGGAGAAGAAGAAGAAGGGGTCAAAGAAGGGCGTGGTCCCCTCGGAGGTGGTGAACCAAGGGAAAGAGACAAAGGTATGGTTTTTTTTTTTCCACAATTTAAAAATCAAAACGGTTGGTGTTGCCATTCGTTTTAAGGATGTGGATTTTTCTGCGTCCGGAAAGATCCTGACAACGACCAACTCAATCAACTCCCCTCGTTGAAACTGGTTGTTGCATGCATTAATCTTTTTCAAGTAATCATTATCAGACTAATAATTAATATTATCCCCACTGTAATCTCTGTTAATATACTTTATTTCATGTTTAAAATAATCTTTTCATTTCTTTTTAAGTATCATTCACGAACATTCATTATTCTTCATTTTTTTAGGAAAAAAAACTCATTTTTATCTAATTTGTTTAAGAGGGGTAATATTTTGACCATCATAAACCATATAGTCTTTTTGATAATTTACTTTTATTAATATAATAATTTATAAAATAATTTAATAAAAATAAAATAAAATTATTATTATAATATTAAAAAATAATTATTTATATGAATAATATGGATTTGGGTTGAGAAAGTAACGTTTACTTTTCTTTAATGATCGATATGTCCAATGATTCCTGCTTGTAAAAAACTGTAACATATGCAGTATGCAATATGCAATAGGTGTTATTTTTATGTTGAAATATAATATTTAATATTATAATATATTTATAACTTTTTCAAACACTCTTACTAATGGTGGTATAATTTTGAGCTTTCAAATATGGGACTACATTGAGAATTATGATACAGAACATTTGATATTTTATAATTAAAATTTACTAAAAATCATATTATAGAATTTCTATATTATTATTAAATTTATAATTTTAATTTCTCTCATATTCATAAATAAATCATATAATATTATAATTAAAAATATCATACACATTTATTTTCAATTAGAAACAAATAGTTCAAAAGCATTGCTCTAAAATGAAGTTTTTTTTATTATTAATACAATATCTGCTGTGATGTTGTTTAATAAAAGAATATTTTATTATTTAGACGAGGTTTACAAGAAAACTTCTCCCTGAATAACCACTCCATTAATGGTGAGTTAGTAAGGCCTGGTACCAAGATGTTGTAAAAGATGCGCGACAAGTGAGGATTAGCGACTCAAAAGAACCTCGAATCCGTCCATGTGTCGCGTGATGATATTTGTTGGTTGAGAATGGAAGAAGGCGTGAGGAGATGGGTGATCAATTTATCAAAGTGGGACCCACACCCCTCTGACTTCTCCTTCGCTCTCTCCCTCCTTCCCTCCCATGACCACTCCTCCATTACCAGGTTCTCTCTTTAACTCAAACTTCATGGAAATTTTCACCCTTTTATACAATGATGAAGTTTTGGCACTCACTTGAAGTGAAATCAGATGGGTTTATTTAGTTCAAAAACTTGTACAAATGGGTTTTGATGGATCCATGGAGTGATGTAGTTGTTGTGTATTGGTAGGTTTGTTAAATTGGCAGACAGGAAACGTGCACTTGTCAGCCGCATGCTTCAGTATGTTCTTGTCCATGATGTCTTGCAAATCCCATTTCCTGACATTGTCATCAAACGAACTCTGGAAGGCAAACCCTATTTGGTATGATCATTTCCTAGAACTATCAAAGATGAGTAGTAATTATATAATTAGAGTTTGATTTTGCAGATTGTTGTAGCTATATGACATAATCCCAAAATTGTAGGCTTATGTTATGCATAGAGAGTGGGTTAGTTGCAACCTAATTTCAAGTGCTTCTTTATGAGTTCAAAATAGTTTATACACAAGTTAGAAATATAAATTTAGAGAAGTTATATGAAAGATATTCTACAAATTAGCTTCTTGTGCAAACAGGAACAATATTGAAAAGGGAGCAAGGAATGAAGTCTTATATTAAAGTCTTAAACTTTGCTTATGCGTGTGTCAGATTTTGTTAAGTGAAGCAAAATCCACTCCAATGATTTGTTTAGTGTATGTCCCAAAAGGAATTAGTTTTCAATTGTCAGATGGGAGATATCTTTAGTGAATATACAAGAAGAAAAATAAATGAATAATGATTAAACTAATAAAATTTGTGATGTACGTGTTTAATAACAGGCTCAATTTTGTCTCCTAAATCATGTATTTATGTTATTTTGTTATTGTGTTAGCTTATTTATTGTTTTATCTCTCCTTTTCATTCAGGATCATGATAGTCGTAGATTCCCAAATTTTAATTTCAATGTATCCCATCACGGTGACTATGTGGCCATAGCATCTGAACCAGTATGTCTTGTGGGGGTAGACATTGTCTCCTATGATGTTCCACAGGGAGAAACAGTAACAGAATTCATTCAATTCTTCTCATCATACTTTTCATGTTTGGAATGGGATAACATAATCATGGCTGGCAATTCTGATGATGTATTAATTGAATTTTACAGGTACAAACTTTATCTGTGCATTTTTGTCAACTGTTCAGGAGTAGTTCAATTGGAAATATTTCATCTACGTTCAAAAGTGTAACGAAATTTAGAAGTCTAAGCGACGTAGTTTATAAGTATCCCCTCTCTTTAGGGATGTCCTTTCAAGACGAACATAAGCACCAAAGCGGCACCAATGTCTCGAATACAGTGACCCTAATGATGCCCTCAGATTTAAGGTCAGAACATTGATGGTAGAAGAGGACCTATTCTTGGTCCTTAGTCTCAACTAGACGCTTGTTCTAGAATGTCCAAAAGTCTCCTTTATCTTAGGAGTCAAAACGAAAAATAACCTATAAACACCCTTTCTTAGTCTAAAGAAACGTTTTTTTAGGACAAAACCAAAACCATATGCTTCCGTTCCAACATGCAGAGAGTGGGAAGCTTTACCTAATTGTTGAGATTTTCTAGCTTCTAGTTGTTTCTTGTATTGGCTGTTATGAAATGTATCTTCTATTTTTTCCAATAAAACTTCTTTTTCTAGAAACAAATGCAATTAATTCCTGAGTTCTGCAATTTTTTCCTAATTCAACTTCCTTGAAAGTTAACATGCTTATGGAAAGACAAAAATGCCTTGTATTATCATTTGTTTGGAAAGGAATGAACGTTGGAATGTGAGGGGAACCAAAGTATTGGGAAATCTCCATCAGGCCACGAGAAAACTATACATGGGTGGATTAGACACAGCATGAAACCCAAAACCTCAAGGAATTTTGGGTGTACAATCCTTGTTAGTTATATATTGCTGAATTTGTCTTTTCTAATCCATTGTAGGATTTTCACTCACTTCACACTCCAATAACTAAATAGAAATATATGAATAGCAAATCGCGAGCTAGTATTTTTGAAGAATATTATTGCACTCTTTAAGTGAAGGCATCTCAACAAATGACATCAGCTCGCGTAAGTGCTTGACTTACATCTTTCCAGATAGCTGTTATGTTATGATCATGCCAGAAAGAACCTGAAGATCGTGTTGCTATATAATGCAGAGCATAAGATGTCTTTGAAATTGTTTCATTTTTGTATTGATATGTGATAGTGTCAGATCTGATAATGTATGTTTATCTGTCAAACGAGTAGAATTCTTTGTAAATGTAAAGATGATTCTTTGAACTGAAGACAAGCCATGCTGAAAGACAAATGTGCATTTACTTTGTAGGTATTGGAGCCTAAAAGAAGCATATGTTAAAGCTATAGGGAGTGGACTGACTGAAGGGTTGAATAAAGTGGAGTTTTCCCACACGGGATGGTCTAATATATCAGCTAAAGTGGATGGGAAGGTTATGACACAGTGGAGATTTTGGCTGTCTGAACTCGGGGGTAGACATTGTGTAAGTTCCTCATCAACTTCTAACCCGCTTTGACAACAATTACTAGAATTTCATTTAGGTCTTGTGTACTATTTTAGATTTCTACTGCAAAGATGCCCATTTTACTGAAATTTAATTGTAAGTGCTGAATAATACAAAATTTAGTAGAGGAAGAATTTAAATGCAAGTGATTTTATAACTTTAAGGTATATCTCTCACCATTATGAATTTATGCATCTATTTTTTAACTTACACATATAAACTTATTTTTCTTGTTTTGCAGGTTTCAATTGCGAGACTTCACCCAATGTCAGCTGCTATGAGTTACAAAAGAACACTGAAGAAAGTAGACTTTACTGAACACGAATATACTCTGGGTCTTCATCTTCCTAATGTAGACTTTGTTCAAATAGAAATAGAACAAGTTATTTCAATTTTACAGAAAGCATTTGATTGTAAGCATAGAGGATAAATGTTAATGTAAACCAATGGGAAAGGATTTGTACAAGTTGATGAAAATATATACTTTTTAAAAGATGGTATTCAGTTCATTGACAGAAAAGTATACACCTCCCCTTTCTCAATCCAAATAACCTTTTCTGTGTTGGTTATAAACTTCTTAAAGAGTCAGCAAACATTTTATATTGGTCAAGTCTTCGTCTTTCTATGAATGTCTTACACATCATTATTATAAGAATATAAGTCAATAAGCATGGTCATATCAATGATTATTCTGACTCACTTCAAAAAATATGACCAAATTAATGCTAAAATTAATAACAGAAAAATTAAAAATAAATAAATAATGAATAAAAAACTAATTATCCTTGTTTTGAAAATAATAAGAGCATTCTTGATCCAAAAACAAACTATATTTTGTTAATTTCACCGAGCTCAATGACTCCCAGCTTCTTTTAAATTAGATTTTTCTCTAATAACATGGTTACTCAAAAACAAATAGATTTTTTGGTCAGCGTACTATGCCCTAGCCCCTGGGAGAAAAAGAAAATTAAGAATTGCAAGCTTCCCAGCAACATACATGACACCAGATTGGTAACTAAAAATACAATATAAACGAATACAAGGAATGTTAAACTAATAAATTATTACATGTAGATCTGCAATTAAAACCAAAATGGTTCTTTCATATAACACTTCCCTTATCTGTATGGTGGCACCCCTATCATTGGCTCCATAGGAGCCAATTGAAGTCGTAGAAACTTGTAAACTGATTCAGTTGTCTCGGCAGCCACTCGAACAAGAAGACCACTTTTCTGCAATCAAATGGAGTTGCAGCCAGCAACATTTATTACTAAATCATTACAGAGTTGTGATGCAGGATATTATCTATCACCCAACTGTTTTGACTACTCAGCATCTTTCTGTGTATTGATGAAATTTTGTTGTAGCACCTCAACTTAAAGTCTCTTTGTAGGACACTATTATTAGGTTAATTTTATGTAAAACCCATATGAAATTTATCCAATAATAAAATGTGTTTTGAAACTTGACTCCTCTATCTTGAGACGAGAATCCAATCCTACAGCTTTGACGAATAACAAAGTTATTGAATGAATAAGGGTGTCGCGTGCTAATGTGTTTAATGTAAGTGTACAATATTCAAAAGTGACAACCCACCCAAAATAAAAAAGATATATGGTTTCAGGAGAATCGTCCTAAGGCTATATATACACAACTACAATTTGAACATTTTCTTCCAAAGACAATCTAACAAGTCCAGAGAGACTAATAATTCATCCTCGAATCTTTGGACATTACTTGGTGATGAAACAAAATGAGACAAGCATAAAAGTCACACTTTGAATGCACAGCCAATCTTGTGCAGAGCACCATGTCTACAAGGTATTTCTGAGGCCCGTTTATACAAGCTACCAAGGGATATGAAGGCTTACACCAATCAAACTGTACTGTGACAACAAAATCCGCAATCTAGCTCACAACCCTGTTTTACTTGACAAAGCCAAGCACGTGGAAGTTGACATGATAAACACTGTTAAAGAGGAGATAGAGAAAAAGAGGAATCATGATCACAAAAAAATCTTCATTTTTTCATGCTTCACTACTATAGGCAATCCCTTCATATGCCCCTACTTAGATCTAGTACTAGTTTTATTCTATTGGTATAATCATAACTCACTAACATAGAAAAATTCCTCTATTTCATTCTACATTCCAGCATTATTATCTCTAGTGAGAAAGATAGCAATGCACCAATACTTATATCTAGGATCTATGAGCAGAAAATGAATTCAGTTCAAGCAGAACTACGATTGTATGAGATGTCAAGTCAAAGCACACAATAAACAACGACATCACACTAGTATTTAGACACTATATTCTGGTTAGCTGAAATTGAAATAATTTATAACTTACCTTAGGACCAAAGGCACTGCAAGAAGCTACGAAGCTTGGTTTCGTAATGAAATGATCAGCCTTGGCTCTTTGCTGATGGTGACTCAAAGCAGCAGAAGGACGCTGTAATTGCTCAGACATAATATTTTTCACGTGATCTTGCACAAGATTCTGAATATACTGCATTTTTGGCCTAAAAAAAATCACATACCAATGAATAGCGAATTCATAATACAAAAAATATTAATCCAAAAGTTAGACAAATAAACCACTCACCCCAAGAGTACAACCATTGCAATTACTTGGTAATTGTGCATTTGTTCTTGTACACATCCAGTTTTTTCTTTCTCTAATAACATCTGTTTGTAACAAAATCCATTTGAGAATAATATGAGAGGAGAGGACATCAATCTCAAAATAGAAGATGGTCCAAATTGCCTTGCCAAAATTATCACCTTAAACTTTATTAATTCAAACTAGGCATACTGTTTTGTGCACTGTATGCAAGAGGAGGAAAGAGGCTAAAAAGCAACATATGCAAAAAATTTTGATGCTCTAATCTTAGCACCAAACATGATATATTGTCATTTCAAAAAGCTGACAAGTACAACATCCCGTAAAGGGAACAGAAAAATGCAAAAGCAACATATTTGGCTAGATTTTGTTCTTCTCATTTTAGCTTTGAACACAATAGTATTAAGATGCACCATTTCATATACATATGAGAAAGGATTTACTTACTCCAAGACTCAAAGTTAAAAATTTACTCTTCATCCTCACCATTTTTTTTCTTCTAATCAAATGGTTAAGATAAATTACTATTTTAGATCATTAGATTAAAAAAATGAACGGTAAAAATGAGGAGTAAATTTCTAACTCATACTCTTGAAGTAAGTATATCCCTCCCCTCTCTATATATATACACATTTCAAATAAGAACAACTCTTAAAATAAAAAATGAGAGCAAATGATTATAACCATTAGATTAAGATTGCAAATAATGAAAGGTTGAAATCACAACCCAATTAAAATTAGATCACGGTGTATTTCTTAACTCCATCTTTTCTCATTTTTCACAATTGTATACATTCTCATACTTGTCCTTGTGTATTTCTTAACTCCATCTTTCTCTCAGTTGTGTCACAATTGTATACATTCTCATACTTGTTATGTAATTGCACCAAAACAAAATCAGTGATTCAATTCTTCTCACATTCAATTTTGGATATCATATAGCTTTTCACGTTGCAATGTTGATGGGACAAACTTTAAAATGTGAGTGGAACAAATTTTAAAAAATGAGTAAAATACATAAAAAGGAGGAAAACTTAATTATTAATGAATATGATAAGAAGAATAATAATTGAATCACTAGTTTTAGGCAGAATAAATAAGTTGGGATGAAAGAGAGATAAAATTAACCCAACAAAATTGTCTATGATGTCCAAAATTGAATATAAGAATGAATAAAATGGATAAAAAGGAGAAGATCGATGATGAATATGAGAAGAATAAGAATTAAATTATTACATTTTGTTTTAATACAATGACTTGTGTACAATTGTGACAGAGGAAGGAAAGACAAAGTGAATAGATACACTGATTATATTGTGTTTTGATTTGTTTGTTCTCATTCCTTAACTTAAAGATGTCCCATATATATATATATATATATATATATATATAAACCCTCCTTAGATACAAGGAACATAGGACCATGGATTGAGTACTCGTAGTTCAAATGATACTAGTGTGTTGCAGCGAAGATATAATGCAACCTATGAGTAGAATAATAATAGTTCTTGTAAGTGCCGATTGCTCTGACATAGGCAAAATGAAATCTATGTGTATGTATGTGGGTATACATATATTAAAAGTTACCTCTGTACACAAAGTGAGATGAAGTTTCATAAAAACATTATTATTCTTGATTATGAGTTTAATTTTGTGAATGAGTTTTCAAGAATATATATTTCAATTTCACTAATTGGGATATGTTACATTGCAATTTATTACAATCATCATCTTATTTGCATATAAAACCATTATATGTTTGTTTTCTCCTTCTTGTCCATTGTACTCTCACTAAGTCTCATGTCCACTACATCTGAATAATTAGATATTTACAATTTATCTATGTTTCCCTACCTCTTAACCCCCTATCATCTAAATGTCACCTAAAAGACCTCTAAACTAGTATACCCACTTAATTGTCTAACAAACTATATATATATATATATATATATATATATATATATATATATATATATATATATATATATATCATAAGAATAACAAGGACAGCAATCAATCAATTACCGTATCCAGAAATAATGGTTGGCCATCTTCTAAGAAAATGTTATTGGTGCTTCTATATAGATCAAAATCCCATTTCTCTCCACTTTCATGGCGCCCACTTGTAATCCAATCAACGATGACCAGATTTGAGTCTGAAGACATACTGAAGACTTGTTTCTGATAGTATCTTGCAGTGGAAAAGCATGTCACTGGATCTGGAATAATGGCTAAAAGTGCATTGCTTCCAATTCTAGCCTACTACACATAATGATTTCGAAAGTTGTCAGTTGTCCCATGAAACCAATAGACTCAGCCATAGTCAAATCTTAACCACGAATAAATCATGTCTGTCAAGGCATTTCTGGTGAAAAGTATAAGTCAGTTATGCCATAAAAATGTCCATTAATAGAATCCTACCAAGTCTTATTACTCATGCCCATGGCCATAAATCTTGATATTGACATCAGGTAATGTAAAGTGAAAAGCAATCAATCCAAACTATTTTCCTCTATCATGTAATATGACTCCTCTAAGTTAACAGTGAGAAGCAAAAGACATACACTGTTTTTACCTCTAATATTTGCTGAGAACACTTGGATCCCACAGATTTGTAGACCTAAATAAGAACAAAAATTTCACTGCTATAATAAACATAAGCCAAGTCAAAAGACGAAAATTCACTCTAACCAAAAGCAACCAATTTAAAAGATAATAATCATAAGCACCTGACCCAGAAGCCAGCTCAATATTATAGAAAAAATAAACTTGGATGAAGCTAAAGAAAAAAAACAATCAATAAGTGAAAACTAATAACTAGTCAACCTTGGTGGAACCTTGGGTCGTCAAAACCATTGTACAAGAATCTCCCACAGAAAACTTGCACGAAATGTGATCACCCTACACCTCACAAGGCAAGCATAAGTCCACCATCATATGCAAATAGAAACATATATTACCAAGACAATAAAAGTGGGCTATGAAAAGCACACAACTTACAGATACAATTCCACCCCCATAATTGAGAGCATAAACCCATACGGCATCAGTTTTGGAAGAACCCACCTAAGCAATTAGTGAAAGATACATTTTTAACATTCCAAGCTAAGACATTTAAAGCCAAAAATGATTTTTTTTTCTAATACTATCTAACTTTCAATTAAATACGTTAAAGTTCCTAGACTTTCATATGTTTGAAGTTAGTCCCCAAACATTAAAACAAAGTCGTAGATTTTTTTTTTTTTTTTAACTTTAAAAAAATTAAAGGTAATGGTTTTTAGATATAAGAAGACCACATCTATATGTTTTATAAAGTTTTGGAAATCAAATTTATCAATATAAAAATACAAAAAATAGTGATACACATTTGTTTCTATTTTGACACTGATGATCGTTTGGTAACCAAAACGAATAAATCTATGCAGATAAGTCAAAACATCACTGAAAATACAAGAAGAAGAATTTAATTTAGGCTAGTCTTAAGGTATGCTAGTATTTACAAACTTTTAAAGTAATTAGCACAACAAAAATTCAGTAATTTTCAATCATACAATAATATAAAAGAGAAGAGTTTAATTCTAATGCTCGTGTGAAATATCTTAGATGGGGAAATAATAATCAGATATTATCCTTCAATCAAAAGCTTTAAATAAGAATTTAATGGTCATATTCTGTTAAAGATATTTACATAGTGAACTAACTAAAATTGAAATAATTTTTAAAATAACTATTAGTGAACAGTTTATAGTATACTGAAAACCTTCTACGAGCAAAGATTACTGAAATGAAAGATTGTTGAAAACCTTTTTGGGTATGAAGAACTTGAGGGGATATCTTGAGAAGCAACTGGTCGCAGATGATCGGCCACCCACTTTTTCAACCACCACCGATCCCATTTCCCCTTCTCTCTCTCCGTCACCACTTCTCATTATTCTGCATCTACCTTCAACAGAGACACTGCCTTGGCTCGATTGAAAATGAAAAAAATAAAATGAAAACTTCTATTTAAATATTCTCCTTTCACATGGTTTTGAGATTTCAAAAACAGAGAGGAAATGCTTTACATTTTTAGTTTATCAAATTCAAAGTTATAGAGAAAAACAAAGAAGAAAGAAGAGAAGGAGGTTGAAACCTGATTTGAAGGAGTGAGGAACAGAGTGAGGCGCGCGTGGCACCATCGGAAGGAGACACCACCGAGTCGCTGTGTATATGCGACATGCATTTTTAAATTAAGTTATTTTGGGGCTCAATTTTAAAATGTTAAAAAATAGTACAAATATTCTTTAAAATTTATTAAAAAATACATCACTTAAGAATTAAATTAATAAATAATTAAATTTTAAAAAAATCATGATAGTTTTATTATTAAAAAGATTACTTAGAAATTGAATAATAATCCAAGCATTAAATTAGACCAATTATTTAATTACAATAAAGTATTATCTAAGTCTTTCTTTAACTTAAAACAAATATTATTGTTGATAATTGAAGGATGAAAATTCAAAAATTTTAAAACTTTATTAAGCAAAAATATAAAATGAAATAAAATTATAAATTAATTTTTAGATATTTAATTACTTTTTTATTCACAACTCATATAGAATAAATCATTTTAAAAAACAAACTAAGAAACTTATTTCATGGAAGAACAACTCCCTTAGGATTCCATGTTTATTTTTTATTAGAGTAGTGATATTTTGACAACTAGAAACCATACAACTCTTTAAATAACTCACTTTTATTAATATAATAATTTATAGATCTGATTTAATAAAAATAAAACTATTATTATAATATTAAAACAGAGTTGTTTACAGGAGTTGTATGAATTTAGGTTGTCAAAGTATCATTTTTCTTTTTATTAATCTTTTAATTTTATATTATGATAATGATATATAATTAACTTTATTCTATATATATAATATTAATAAAGATATAATAAGTATTAAATATATATATATATATAATTAATTAAAATAATGCTAATAAAAATTATAAAACTATTTTATTATTTTATTGACATGTTTTATATGTTAATTATTTTATTATCTTACTTATATTTTTATATTTATTTAATTATCAAATATGGATAATTTAAAAAAAATAAAATTCGATCTAATACATGTTAAGACGTTGGTAATCAAGATGAATTTCTTTAAATACAATTTATTATTATAATTTTCTGACTATAACACTTAACAAGAGAATAAATAATTGAAAGTAGAAAAATTGTTTAAAATATAAGAAATTATTTCTTTAAATGTCCAAGACTTTATCATATACATATAAAACCTAAAATGTCAAATAGAAACATTCTTACAATAATTAATTTTTTTAAAATAATCAATTATTATTTAAGTTGAAGGACATAACAAATATAATTGTAAGATTATTTTTGTCAATTTTTTTCTTGAAGAGGAGCATCTCCTTAAAAAAATGGTAATCCACAAATCACTTACACAAGAAAAAAACAACCATGTAAAAGAAATTTTAACTTTTGTCAATAACTATTACAAAAATAATATATTTATTAAAGTCACAAATAATATGATTTAATTTTAATTGAACTTTGATACTAATACTTTATTATTAGTATTAGTATGGTTAATTATAATTTTAAAGTTATAATTTTTTTTCGTATTTAACTTTGATTATTATTTGATATGCTATGTATATACATACAGTAAAGTATGTATAGACGTGGGTAGAAGATAAATATTAATGTAGATAAATAAATGAGTCAAATATAAATATGAAGAAAAAAATATAAAATATTAAAGATGATAATAAAAATATATAAAAAAATTAAAAAGAAGGTAAATTTGATATGTTTTGTAAATAAATCAAAGAAGTTGTAGATTTAAAATGAATATTAGAATTGAATGTGATTTGAAATTTTTAAACTATAGGAATAAAAAAATATTTATAAGAATTAAAATTAAAATTTACACATTTTATAAAGAATAAAAATTATAATTTTAAAATTTATAGAAATAAAAATAAAGAAAAATATATAAAATTATAATAATATTGTTATTTTTATCCTATTAATCATAATAATTGATATAATAGATGAGATTTATTTAGTTTTATATATATATATATATATATATATATATATATATATATATAAGCTTTATTCTTGATATATTAGTAAACTTTATCTCAATATAATATTAATTATAATAACTAATTTTTTATATTATATTTATTATTTTATCATCATAAAAATATAAACATATGTGTATTTTAACTAATAACAACTAATGTCGTTACAATCAATTAGATAAAAAAGAAAAATGTTTATTTAGTTAAAAAAATCAAATTAAATTTTTTGTTAATAAAAAGCCAAATTCAATCAATGAAATAAGAAAAACTAATTGTTTTATATTATAAAATAAATGACTATGATACCCAAAATCCCATATATGAATAAGAAAATTGATAAAAAAAAAGTATTTGTTAATAAATATGAAAAAAAATATTTTATTGTTAATATATATATATATATATATATATATAATTATGCAATTTTATCATATGAGAAATAAGATAATATAATATAATTTGAATTGAATTTTGATATTAATCCTTTATTATTATTATTTTAAATTTAAAAATTATAAATTTTCTCATATTTTATTTTAATTATTAGTTGTATGATGGATTATATATAAAATAATATTTTTTTATCATGTAGATAAATAAATGAGTAAATTATAAATATACTTGACCATAAGATGAAGAAAAAAATATAAAAAGATAATAATAAAAATATATAAGGCAAAAGATAACAAAGATAATTGATATGTTTTATAAATAAATTATAAATTTACCTAATTGTAAAATAAATAATTGATCACGATAAAAATAGATTTTATATATATTTTATATTGGAAATCTGACTTTTATATATATATATATATATATATATATATATTTATATATATAATTTAATATTTTATTTATACACTAATAAAATTTTTAATTGTCCATTATCATAATGAAGTACATATGTTATTAGGAATAATAATTTATTTTATTCTCAATTAGCATAAAAAGGAATAAATGTAGTTATAAATATATATATTAAAAAATAATATAGATATTGGAAAGAAAGTTAACTTTTATAAGTTATTTAAATCATTAATTAAGTCACACACTAAATTTTAGCTTTTGGTTAAAGATATTTAATAATGAATATATTCTAATTAGATATTTTTTTAATACTCAATTAACTAAAATAATTTTCATATATAATAATAAAAAATAGATAAAATTATAAATGTACTTAGTCATATGACAAAAATATATAATAGATAGAATAATAAAAAAATTGAGATAAAAAGAGGTAATTTAGTCAGAGTTGATGTTTTATGAATTAAACAATAAATATAATTATAAAATAAACAAAATATATATAACTAATTATAAGTCTCAAAATTTGCCATTAATAATAATATATCCATATAATATATATTAGATATATATTATTTAATATATATTAAAGTTTAGGTTGTATCTCTTTTGTTTAGTGTGTTTTTATGTATTTTAAGTTTTTTTTTATTGATTTTTGTCTGCTTTGTATCGTATTTTATTTTTGGGTTGTTTTTAAGTTTTGATTATCCTTGTTTATTTGTTTATAATATATATATATATGTATATATTATAACATATATTAAATAGTTATTAAATATTACAAATATTCTTTAAATTTTATTAAAAATAGATACATTTACTAATTAAACTAATAAATAATTAACATTTTAAAAATTATTTAAACAATCTTATTAATAAAATTTAAATATCTTTGAAATTGATTTAGTGAATGTACACGTATTTATATATTATAATATTATTTTATTTATATTTTAATATATAATATTATTTTATTTATAATCAATTTAACGTTTTAACATGAAGCCAAATTAAGATTATAATAATTATTTATAAATCGAGATATCTAACTTAATTTTATATATGTTATATTATATATTGATATAAGTTTAACAAAAATATTTATTATAAAAAAATAAATAATAATCTAAACATTAAAGTAAACTAATTATGTAATTTTTATAAAATGTTATCTAAGTCTTTTTCTGAATTAGAACAAATATTATTTGTTATTATTGATAACAAAGAATAAAAATTAAAATTCTTTATGTTATTATTTGAATAAATATGTTAATTTTTTATATTTCACTTAATTTTTCTTGTTTTGTTCTTTTACTAATAATAATAAATTATCCTTTAATATAAAACATTAGAATATCATAACAGTTTTGTGACAATGGTACTTCTTTGGTACATATATACTACCCAAAACAATATCTTATACATTTTATTTTAACATTTATATACATGCATCACCTTTATATCACAGAGTAGATATACAAAATGTAAATTGTAATGACACAATAATTAACTCAGATTCCATACACATCAACATTTTCATGTACATCATGTTCTCTACATCTTCGTATCTACACGGATATAAGAAAAAATAGTATTATATAATTTTAACGGAGAAAGTAATATGAGAAGCAAAATGGGTAATATATGATTTATAAAGTTTTATCAATAAATAGAGAACTCAATTCACATATTGATAATTGTTGCTTAAAAATAATTTAATATCATAAAATACATTTTGTTATATATATTTAGAAAGACAATTTCCTTTCTCTTTTCAAAATCCAAAATCAATAATGTTTAGTTTATTTTGCGTTGTCTGGTTTGAAATCAAAGTACACCTCTTTTTATGAATACAAGAAAACTCTTAGAAATATATAAATATAAATTATCATTTCCTTATTTGCTAACCATTTTCTGACCAAAGAGAATTATAAAAAGCAAATTATCATTTCCTCTGAATAATAGGAATATATTTTTC